TACCGGGTGTCAGCCAAGAAGGCACAGTTGTGCTCCTCTGATGTCACATACCTGGGGTACAACATTAGCAAAGGCAGACGGACCCTCTCCCTCAGTTGAATAGAGGCAATCTTATGGATCCCCATGCCTACAACCAAGAAGCAGTTCCGAGAATTCTTAAGAGCAGTTGGATACTTGAAGTATGGTACCTATTTGCTTTGTTTAACAATGGACAGGTTATTTTGATTTTCTGAATTGTATAAATCATCCCATTCGATTGAATGCCTTATTGATTGAATGACTATCCCATTGATTGTGATCTTACTGGTTATCAAAGCACATTCTTCTGTACCTGGGAAACAGGACAGCACAATTACCCTAAATTGTTTTAGTGTCCACAGATGGTGCGTTCCCTGTCAACTCAGTGGTCCCAAGACCTGAGGGTTCCAGATAATGTTTCTCTGTCAACTCAGTGGACCTAAGACCCGAGGGCTCTAAATAATGTTTCTGTCAACTCAGAGGTCCAAAGACCCAAAACTATAAACAATCTTTGTAGATAACTAATCAGCTCAATCTCGCTTCTGTAACTGCTTTGTGCAAACCAGGGTCCTCATTCCAAACCCTGGGATGTAATCAATACCTTTGTGATTTTTGCCTATATAAGTCTGGTTTTGCCACCATCTTATTACTATGAGATTTGGGAATGACCCCTCATAGTCCCGGATTGCAATAAATGTGACTCTTTAATTCGACTTCTTGAGGCGTCCTTCTGTGATTCGCGGGGTACAATACAACATACTGCCGCCTGTGGATACTGGCGTTCGCAGAGATTGCTAAACTGGACCGAAGTGGAACAACGGGCCTTTGAAGAGCTAAAGAAGGCTCTCATCTCAGCACCTGCCCTATCCTTGCCAGAAGTCAGGAAGCCCTTCCACCTCTACCTGAGTGAGGTAAGGGGCATTGCCAAAGGGGTTCTCACCCAGACTCTAGGTCCCTGGAAGAGACCTGTGGCCTATCTGTCTAAGAGACTAGACCCTGTGGCTGCAGGGTGGCCAGCGTGCCTCTGGGCAGTGGCCACCACAGCATTGCTGGTAAAGGAGGCAGATAAGCTGACTTTGGGCCAGGAACTAGCCTTGACAACACCCCAGACTGTGGAATGCCTCCTTCGAGGTGCTCCGGAGAGATGGATTTCAAACATCAGGGTCACCCAATAACAAGCTGCCAAGGAAGCCGCCCCAAAACCAGTGGGGCCTTTACAAGAGGAGGAATTGGCAGAATAGAAGCAAGCTACCAGAGGACCAAATGATTGGTGGACTCTACCAGATGGCAGACTGTTGGTCCCAGAGGCTCTAGGTCGGACTTTAGTTGCCCAGTTACACCAGGCTACCCACCTAGGCGTCACCAAGAAACTTTTGTGAGGCAGGTCACAGATAAATGCAAGGTAGGGGGGTCCCCCTGGGAATTTGGGCCCAGGGAAACTTCCCAGGAGAGCATTGGGAGGTGGATTTCGTAGAGATTAAGCCACTGACATCAGGGTATAAGTACCTGCTAGTTTTTATAGACTCCTTGGGATGGGTTGAAGCCTACCCCATCAGGGCAGAAACTGCCTCTATAATGGTCAAGAAATTACTCCAGGAGATTATACCTAGATTGGGGCTATCAGCAGTCATAGGATCAGATAACGGCCCCACCTTTGTAGCCAAGGTATCTCAAAGTATATAGCTCAAGTCTTAGTCATAAATTGGATACTCCATTGTGCATACCGGCCACAAATTCAGGGCAGGTATGAACAGGACTCTAAAAGGACTTTAACTTAATTTATCCCAGAAACCAGTGAAAACTGGACCAACCTCCTGCCCTTTGCCTACTTACAGGCCAGGTGTACCCCCAACCGGGAGGGGTTCTCTCCTTTTGAAATCATGTTTGGTAAACCTTCCCCCTATCCTACCCAAAGTTAGGGGAGGAATTAAAAGCTAAAAGTCATAACCATTCCTTGTTCAAGTCCTTGCAGGCTCTGCAGTATACCCAGAGAGCCACCC